GCTGTGTCTTGATTGGGATTGAGGGCTCTACTACACTTCCCAGGCTGTGTTAATAGGACTGGGACGCGAAGAGCAGTTCTTCCAGGCATGGGGCTGCTGAGAGCAGTGCTGGAGCTTTGCTGGGAGATCTGATGTGGTCAGATGCAACCTGGGCCTGGCCTGTGAGCTGCACTTTGGGACTTGCTCTTCTGGTGGCACAAGAGCTGTAACGCTAGGGGGCAGAGCTCTTGGATCAAGTGGATTACTGTAGGAGCAATGGGATGGTTTACACAAGTCAGTAATGCTGCTGTAGATTGTCAGTAGTTTTATAGGGAAAAAAGCGATGTATAAAATTAATTGTTTTGGTCATAAAAACCTATTGGATTCAAATGCTTTGAATCCTGTTCTTGGTGTACTGATTGAAGACTAAGAAATCTCTTTTCCCAGCCGCTTCACCTCTTTCCCTTCCCTGCTCTGGTTCTTGTCTTGTCCATTACTGCTGCAAGTACTGTGCAGTGAGGACTGTCTTGGAGTGGCTGTCTTTGCCAGTGTTCCTAATTACCTTTGGAGTAGATAATATAAACTAGACCTTCCTAGCATGGGTGAGTCACTCACTGAAGGTCCCTTCCATGCTTGCGAGAAGCAATGCTTGAGAGAGGAAGGTCTTTGCCACTCTGAATGCTTTGCTGGCTCTCAAGAAGGGAGCCAAGGGATGGATGAACATGTGTGTGCATGTCTGAAGCCACAATAAGCTAGGTGCCCCCGGGTTTGCTTTTATTGCAGAGCCATTATTAGCCATATGCAAGAATTCTCCTGCTGTCTGTGATGTGGTTGCAGCCACAAAGAGCTCTCTCCCAATAACAGCAAACTGCCTTGTTTCTGAGCAGTAGGCCATACACGGGTTCACTACTAGCTCAAGAGGATATTTAGGGACAAGCAGACTCGATTGCTACTGTGTTCCCTTGACACCATGCTCAAACTGATCCCAGAGTCAGTAATAATGAGCTTGTTTGTTGCTCTAGGATCTCTGAAATAGCTGTCACCAGTTAATTGGGCCTCGGAACCTGCTAGGGCAGAGGGCTACAACTGCAGCTGGCTCACGCTATGCTGCCTCAACCAGCAGCAAGGGAAAGATCTGACTCTGACACACTCACTGTGTTCTTCAGACTGACATAGAGCTCTGCTAAGCTGCAAAGAGTTGCTCCAAAACAAGCAGGAGTTGAATTGAGCCCTGCAATCGCATCACTTCCTTCCACCCCCAGAAATACTTGCTGGCCTCCTTTTCCCCTCCCATCCAGCAGTAGCAATGTGAAATTTAGGAAAACGGCAGCAGGAGCAGCAGCTGCTCCTCAGGGCCGTGAGGCAGAGAGCGCATTCTTTCCTATGTTGTGGTTTGCTGACTCCTCTCTTTGTCTTGTGTGTAATGGGAACTGCGCTCAGGGAGTGCGCTCCCAGAAATGACTCCTGTGGATTTTCTGCTTTGTTTGGGCCAGTTCTGTAGGTATGAACCGTGGGGAATTCTGCTGTTTTGCTGGCCTTGCTCTAGGCTCTGTCCAATGAGCCACCAGCAGAGGCAGCCCCTGACACACATTATGCACAGCAGCTGTTTGTTGCTCTGTGTTTGCCTCTGCCACCAGAACCAGAGGCCTGAGGCTTCATCTTCCTTCCCGGTTCTGGAAGACCCACAAGCCTCCTGTAAGCTGCAGGCCAGTGCCTATGGAAGTACCAGTGCTCTGCAGAGCAGTGTGCTGTGTGGGGCTCCTGGCTCCATCACTGCCCCATATCCTTTCTGTACAGTGCTGGTCCCTGCTTTGTTTATTCTCTCCTCGTTATTCAGAAGTCTTCATAGTTTCTCTGAAATCTTATACACAAATGTATCACTTGGTGACCAATCAAGCCACCCGATGAATCTATTCATGGTTTTTTGCTGATGGTATTTTGAGACGTGTCACTTTCTTTTCAGGATCTTAGTGGCATCAGTATGCTGATTAACAGGAGATTTTTCCTCAGTTATCATAGGATTCTAAGGGAATCAACAAAAACACTGAAACTACTGTAAAAAGGCTGTGAGAGTGTCCAGGAATAATTTGGTGTAGATAATAAAGTGTAGATAATAAAGTGGTGTAGAATATCACTGGAAAACCTTATATTTTTCTCCAGGCTCAGGATCTTGATGAGGTACTGGCACAGGCTGCCCATGGTAGTGGAGGAGTCACTGTCCCTGGAGGTGTTCAAGAAACATGGAGATGTGGCACTGAAGGATGTGGTTAGTTGAACTGGAAGATATTAGTGGTCTTTTCCAGCCTTCATGATTCTATGAACTGGGGAGCTGAAAATGAATGTGACTTTTAGGCATTGGATGTGGATAATAATAAAAAAAAAAAAAAAGAGATGAGTGTACTTGAATTGTCTCACAACTTCTCACTTGCCATGGAGAACCATGGTAAAAACTTCCTAATGCCATCCAGTTATGCAGCACAGTACGTTAATTTATGCTGCCATTACAATTCTATTGTTTTAAAGCTAAAATCCAAAAAGCAGTGAAATGACTTTGTATTTTCAGTAGTGTTAGGTTGCTTCTGCTTCTGTCAGTGGTGGGAGTACTATTTAATTGTTGTGATGAGCTCAGTATGTAGCTTAACAAACATAATGTTGTCATAACTCTATGATGGTATACTTCCAAGGAGGACTCGCCCATGACGGAGGCATCACTTCATTTTCAGAGATGGGCATTTGTAGAATCATTACAGCCACTTTTGGTTACTCTGTGTCCCTGGTTGTCCCCTTTCTAAGCACAGGTATTTCATTTGCATGGAAATGTATAATATTATGGTTATTTGAGCATTTGCATTTCAAGTCTTCATGTTTTTCCACCATCATGACTTTGACTTTCCTAAATATTCAGTATTTGACTTGCTGTTTTACTGAACTGTTCTTTGCCTAAGGATTAGGTATTTCTTAGAGGGGAAGAAATAAAAGCACCTAAATAAATAAATGAAGACCCTTCAGTCCTAAGAAGGTACTGGAAGTGACAGTTTGTTGTCATTATGAAGAAAATACATTGGTACTTTGTTTTCCTGGATTGCATCATTGCTTTTGCAACTAGCAGTAGAAAGCTGATACCTCAAAACTGACTGTGTTTTATGAATAAGAGAATGGCTACTCAGTGCAAAAGAAGTAACCATGCTGGAATTTGCAGGCCTGGGGCTTAACTGGGAGGCCTGGCAAAGAATGAAACTGGAAAGGGTCAACTTGTGGTGTAAAGACAGAATTTAAAATAGTAATACAAACTGAGATCTATGAATGCATAGATCTTGCTGTTTTGAATCTTGCATAGATACAAGGAAAATCTGTTGAAATTCAACCAAATTAGTGATTTAGTCTGTGAGTTGCAGAAGAATCCTGGGGGATTGTAGGTGCTAGACTGCTTTGGTTCCCTTCTGAAAAAGCAGTTGTTTCAACACATGCTTTGCATAGACATGGATTATTTTTCTATTTTCAGGAAAAAAAAAGTCTCATTTGCTAGTGGTGTAATCTTTTTCTTGCACTTTCCACCAATACAGGGACACGGCTCATCTATCGTACAGCACCTTAAATCACAGAATTGTAGGGCTTGGAAGGGACCTCCAAAGATAGAGTCCAATCCCCCTGCCAAAGCAGGTTCCCTACATCAGGTTACACAAGTAGGTGGAATGGCAGTATGCAGATCAGTCCTTGCCTTGAGCAGTCTTGGGGCATTGTTGACTCTTCCTCACTTGCAGGCAGCTTAATTTCTTCATTCTTTGTTGACAATGTTATTCTGTGAATGGCTTGCCATTCTTCAGTAGAGCAGTGTCAAGGCACACGAGCAGGCTTATTCCAGCGACAGCACTGCCACACATTGCACTGACTTCTCCACTGGTGAAAGGAGGTAGGAATGTCTGGCACAGGATTGCTTGGAAAGCCCATAGCACAACTACAGTTGTTTTCACTTTCATACATTTATACAGCAAAATGTCTAATGGCTGTTAGAGTAAGTCTAAGGCTTTTTACTTCTTCAGTAGTTACATTTCAGAAGCATCTTAGTTCTTCTTTCTAAACTACTGTGATCCTTCTTGATATGCTGCTACTTTATTTCTCTGCCCCTCTCTACCTGTGCCAAAGATACCTTATACAGGCATTTGCCTGGCAATCAAGGTGAATTAGCTATTTGCTTGGTCCTATGAGAGCTTTTCAAATCACTGACTTCTCATGCTTTTTAGCCTTTTAAGTGGCTTGAAAGTGTATGACCTAGATTCACATGCAGCAAATCAGCTATCATTTACTGTAGATTTGCTGCATGCTGGGCTCTGTTTGAAGTCTGAGTTCCACAAGACCGTTGTGGTCCCCAAGAACCTAAGTCTAAACTGAGAAAAGCCAGGGATTGAATAATGAAGTTTTATTGATTGGGAATGAAAATACAAACATAATACAATAATTGCCCAACATTTCATGGGAAGTCTGTAACAGAGCCAGGGATCGGATCACTAAAATACTCGTCCAGTGTGTTAGCTATTAGAGTTGCCTTTCCCCTCTGAATTACTTCAAACGCTTTCTCTTTTGAAACAAACAGTAATTCATGGAAACATTCTCTCACGTGTTCTGGGAGGGTTGATGATCAGTACAAACTTTCCTCGTGGCTGCAACAGCCCAGCTATGCTCTAAGAAAGTAAATAATCTATTAGCAGATGATTTAGCAACATCAATAAAATGAATTAAACTAATAATATGTAATAAAAGAAACAGCAGCAGAGGGAAGAATACTTAGCGAGCTTGTCTTGAAATTGTATTTCTCCTTGTGTTTGGGTCTGTGGGCATTGTCATTACTGTTTGTTTACAGCTTCCAGCACAGCTGCTGTAGAAGCCCCTCCAGCACTAGCTGCCTCATCTCCATGCACCTCTGTCCAGGTTGTCCCTCACCACCCCTGGAGTGTCCCACTCTTAATATTGATACAAGGAATTTCACTGTGAGATGAATGTAATTGATTCTGGTTTGTGCACAGGTCAGGAAGTGTCAGAAATCATTGGATGGAGATTTACTCTTTTGTGGAAAGCCTGGCTGAGAAGTTCATAAGGTAATTTTTGGTATTCAAACTTGGTTGTGTATATGTATATGCATACACACATTTGTGTGTGTTATTTCCTATTCCCTGCTTAATCTGATGAAGCAATAGGTATGAGATTTAAATCTGACTTGTTTTTCTGTTTCAGTCCAATGCTGCGCATGTCTTTCATCGTTTTTTCTTCACGAGGCACCACAATCATGAAATTAACAGAAAACAGGCAAGTACTTCCCATCCTTCAACCAAAAGCACCTTCTATCCCTCAAGCAGTGAGCATTCCACAAAACCAGGATCCACAGCTCTGTCTCAGCCCTTGGTGTCACATCCACTGAAATCCTTCCACTGCTTGCAGGTGCCAGCAGATCTAGAAGGTCGTCGGTCTTATAAGAAAAATGCAGCATTGGGGTTCCCGTTCTTAAAACATTTCAGAAAGAAACTGTGCTTCCAGTACAGAGTTTCTATACATTGCCCTCAATGTCCCTAGCTACCCAAATAAGGCAGTTTTTATGTAAGAGCTCTCAGATCCTGAGCTGAGGATCAGAAGAGTATGAGAAAGTCCCGTGGTCATTTCCAAAATAGTTCAAAACTCTGAGCTTGACACCAGCAGCAATCACACTGGGTGGTGCTGGAGCACTACCTGCCAGACTATTGCACCCCTGCCTTTGTGCAGCAGCTGTGCCACAAGTGCCTTGCCACTGTACAGCTGGGTGGTAGGTTTTTAAAGGGAGTTTTTGCCAGAGCAAAATTCTTGTTGCTTCCTTCACAACCATGTCCTCAGGCCTCTGTTTTTCACTGAGAAGGCAGAGCTCAAGGCTTTTTATCGTTCCCAGGGAAAATTGTGCTTTGCAAGTTGGGAGGTAAACAAGAGCCCAGTAGCAGAACGTTGAATGTGGTACGAAAATATTTTCTGTCCTCAACTGGATCTCCATCTGTACTTTCTCAGCTCATTTTATACTTGAAAGGAGTAAAATTGCTTTTTTTGCTCTAAGGATGTCCCTCATTCCAGCTCCTTACTTTACCTTCATGTCTTCATCCTGTTTGTCCTATAATTGTGTCTGTGGATCTTTCAGAAATCAGGACAGTTAATACTAATTTCCCTGAGTGATGCTCTTGGCCTCCATGTGTTTCTTTGTGAAGCAATGAGCTGTGCATCAGGAATTGTGGTGTCCAAGTTGTACCTGTGTACAGTCTGTGCCTGAGAAAGGTTGATGGTCCACTGGTCTAGGACAGGAAATTCTCCTCGTTCCCATCCTGTTTTCGTATCTTCTGGACTCTATCTTTATAATGGAAAAGTTTTAATCACTGCTGTCCTGATGATTGATTGAATAATGAGCTTTTATCCATCCCGTTTTCATGACAGGGTCATAAGTTTTGAATCCTCATTCCATGTGCAGTTTGTCAGCATTCAGTATTTGGCATTTACTTCTATCTTGCCCTGGCAGACAGTGTACCAGGGACAGGACTGCACCCTTACAAATGTTTTAAGACTAACATGGTGATGTGTGCCTGGTTTCGTGCTCCCATGGGTGTTTGGCTGATGTCAAAACTGCTTTTGGAAAGAAAAAAAAAAAACAACCTTGGTTTTGCTAGTGTTAGCTGGTGTGTATGTACTTCATGCAATGTATGGGCAGGATGTGTAATTTATCTGTGTAATTTGATGAAACAACAACCAAAATACTTCTAATAAAATTCCTTTTTGTCTAAAGGGAAGCCATAAGAAGAGGGCTTGAAATTCTACAGTATGAAGTGCCTGGAGGAGACACATTCATGCATGAAGGATTTAAAAGGGTACATACTCCAGCAACTCTTTTCTTTGATTTGTACATTTAAACTTTGCTTTCCTTGCTTCTTCTGCACTTAGTTGCTAATTATGTTCTACACTTCCCTGCAGGCAAATGAGCAGATTTACCATGAAACCTATGGAGGTAGGTGATGTATATTCTTGTTATGGGTCTGCATGGAAGAGATAGGGATGATAGTTTTATGTGACCTGCAGTAAACTTGTTGGAAGATGTTTTGGAGAAGGGATTGGTGTTACACAATCATTGCATTCCATTTTGACTACAGCCCTACTTTCAGATGTGTGATTCATGGTTTATTAAGACCAGAAGAGACCAGTATGATCCCAGATCTGACCCAGGGCAGAATATAGACTGGAGCACTGCAGACAGAATGGTCTGTACTGCATCCAAGGACAAGGACATGCACATATACCTTCCCTGTTCTGTTCTGGTGCACACAGCTCTGTCTGCCTCCTGCTCCCAACTTCTCTCTCTTGTTAGTGTAGGTACAAGTGTGATCAGCTAGAGATTTTACCACAACCATGAATAATTTCAGATCAGATAATCAGTCAATATACTGTGCATTTTTGCTAAATTTCAAGAGGGAAATATATTTGTACTTTCATCTGTGCCAAAGAGAAGGCCTAATTTGTTTAACTGAGCACATTCTGCCTAGTTTGTATGCTGGTGTTAAGTCGCTCTTGTTTATGAGCTGATGGTCTCTTTGGGAGACCCAGAAAAAGGGCCAGGTTTTAATAAAGCAGGGTGCAGGTATGGAGTCTTCAGCAGTAACTCTGTTATGTGGCTCCTCAGGCACTCCTGCCTGATAAATATAGGGTTTTGATGAACCCAAGTGAAAATTATTTTACCTCTTCCTAAGAGATAAACTAGTTGATTAGTTCTTAGCTAAGTTGATTAGTAAGGAAGAAGTAGATGAAGTCTAGATTTATAAAATAAAATATTGGAAAAGAAACAAGAATTGAGAAGAAAATGAAGTTCAATTTATTTCTGTCCTTTTTCAAACATCCTCAGCAAAAAAAAAAAAAAAAAAAAAAAGTAATACAGGAAATCATGCTTTTTTCCCCTGAGTTGCAGGTCATTTTTTTTAAAGGTTTGTATCCGTGTTGACATGACATGGGAAGGACTGCATGGCATAAGAAACCTGTCAGAAGTAATCAGACTTCAATTTCAGACAGTCTAGGGAAAGACATTTGAAATTGTACCAGATTACTTTGAAAAAATAACAACCATTTTTCTGAAAGTAATGTGTGTATGCATTAGTGTGTGTGATTACTGAATCAGGATGGTTGGTTGAACCATCATTTGTTTATCAGTTGGGATTTTTTTTTTAACATTTTGCATTTTTCTAGGTAGCATTGTACTCTATATCATGTTGCTCATGTTGCCAGCCAAAGCTCATGCAACCTTTTCACATAAGCTTATGGGGCATGAACTTGCTTATATTTCAAGACATAAATTTGCTCCAGTGGATCTGGTCCTGCATTTTTTCAGGCTCAAAATTCCTATGAACTGACAATTCTTGTTGTGTGAAAAGTGTAGGACTGAAGCACTTGTGGAAGAACCTTTTCATTCTGAGTTCACTAGGGATCCTCCTTGAAAACCTGGTGGAGGTGAAGGTAGGGTGTCAGGAGAGCTCATCTTGAAAAGGTCTTGCACTGGCAATCTCTGGGCGATGTCCATGCAAATAGGTACTTGTCAAGAGCAGAGGAAAAACTGTCTGTCTGTCTCTAAGAATAAATTTTTCCATTTCTTCATATGAAGGGTGTAGATGTAACTTTGGCCAGATGCTATACGAAAGAGAGAAGTTTGTGCACGGGCCTTGCTGGAGCAGTACTGCTCCTTCAAGTGCTGCTTGTGTGTGTTGAAGGTGCACAAGTTTTCTGCCTGCTGTATGCTGTCATACATCTGACTTTCAGCTGGGGTAGATGAGTGCGCTTCCAACAAGTCCGCACAAATCAGGCTGAGATCCTGGCCTTGTGATTTTGAGTTTTTGTCAGCAAAAAGGCATGTGCCACTTCAAACTTATTTTCACTGTCAAATCTTGTGTCATCCATATGCAATCTGTTAACTATTGTCCTTGTAGGAGTTCGGACTGCTAGTGTGATTATTGCTCTGACGGATGGAGAGTTGCAAGATGTTCAGTTCTACTATGCAGAACAAGAAGTAAGTCACCTTCACATTTATCCAGACTAGCTCAAGTCAAACCTGTAGGTGTTTACTGTTGGCTACATTTCTTATATGCTTTTGCGCTTCATGGCAATTTTTTTGTTTAGGCCAACAGAGCCAGAAGCTTTGGAGCTATTGTTTATTGTGTTGGAGTGAAAGATTTCAATGAAACTCAGGTAACCCTGCTTGCTTTTATTTTGTTTTTCTTTTCTACTTGTAGAGAAGTAATAGCGTTAGTTGAAGGCACTTATTTAATTACTTGAGGCATAAATCATTTCGTGTCAGTATGATGTCTTTCAGCAAGTATGAAGGGGCCCAGTTGTATTCACTGTAATTCTATTTTCCTCATGATTTATGATTGTCTTTCTTTGCAGCTGTCAACAATAGCTGACAGCATCGATCATGTTTTTCCAGTTACGGGAGGCTTTTATGCCCTAAGAGGAACCATTGATTCAGTAAGCTGGCAATTCTGAAACCTAAAAATGGGACCCTTTCCTGTGTTATTAAAGCATAGATTAAAAATGATCACCAAAAATGCCTTTACCTTAAATCTTCCAGATTCTCAAGAAATCTTGCATTGAGATCCTAGCAGCTGAGCCATCCAGTGTTTGTGCAGGAGGTAAGTTTTACAAGATTGGGGGTGGTAAGGCAAGTAAATGACGCTGATGAAATGTTGGTAACTACCTAATGTGGTGTCAGAGCTGAAGCCTGTGGATGAGTTGGAAAGCATCTCCCACGGCTGAGGCTGGAGCCACACGCGTCCCTTCTGAGCTTGGGAAGGAGCTGGTGTTGATACACTTATATTCTCTGAATGCAGGCTTGGAGAAATGGCTGAGAGAGCATGGGGGCAACTAAGAAGCTGCTCTTTAAAATACCTCATAGAAAGAGGGCATGTTGTGGTATAAAACTGGTACCTAGTGCAACATCTCACAAGCTTCTGGAAAGACTGCATTCTCTGGATTTGCTAGGACTTGTCAGCAGTTAAAACAAGACTGCAGAACATTCACACAAACTTCAGATTTATTGAACCAGATGTAATGAACTGCAAAGGCCGAGATACCTGACATGGTTTCCAAAGCATTAGTGTTTTACTTAGTTGCAGTGAAAGAACTGCTAGGGTAGCAAATTAGAAGAATCACCAGAGGAGCTGCTGGTAACTTCATGCCTTTCCTGTTTAGGGTATTTAACTTGCAATTGCTCCTGTTTATGTTATCAATCTGCTGTATTTTTCCTGCTTAAGAGACTATTGCAGCAGACTGAGAATGACAGCATAAGCTTGCTGGAAGGTGTTGTTCATAACGTGGTTATTTAGATCTCTTACTGCCTTCTTCACTTCCTTATATGCTGAGGAAGTGAGTGTGCACAACTTCAGGATGCCTGAAAACTGACCTTGAAAACATGGATCGAAATGGGAGATTCAGGAAAAACCTATTAAATAGCACATAAATTGTTCATTCTTCATTTCCACATATTAATCATAGCATGGTCATGCCCTGAGTATTTAAGTTCCAAATGAAATATCCTTGTATCTTTCCAACTATTTCTAAATAGGTGGTTGTGGGGCAGATGTTTCTCATAATATTATCTTTGGAAAATCACAAAAAGGGAATATTTTGCTTTTAAGAATTTCCTCTGCAGACTGCAGAATTTATAATTAAAAAAAAAAAACTTAAAATCTTTGACTTCAACGTTTTTTATTTCATAGCAATTAATTGCTTTTATTTCTTGTATTCCAGGCAATTTTGGATAATAAATTATTGCAACTTTTCTTGCTTATTAAAAGTTTCTTTTAGCTAAACAGAAGTGAGAGCTCCAGTAGGGATTTGGCACAATGTAAGAATATTGAAGGGTAATATCTGAAAGATCTTTTCAAATTGAAAGTTTGAAAATATTTAAAAAAAAATAATTCAGAAAAATACATTTTCAGAAGATCTGACTTCTTGAAAGTGGATGTGTTTCTGCAAAACCTGCAAAATTGTTTTGAAAAAGCAATCAGCTCAGTTTCCATGTATGCTGCTTACAAGCATAAACTCAGGAGCTCATTCTGACTCTGCTGACAGAGCCATCCAGCAAAGGTGGGCTCAAGGTGAAGTATGTTGCTGAATCACTAGGGCATGGATGAGGAACTCGCATGTGTGATGGTTTGCTGATAGCAGCAGGGAGTTTGAAAGTAGGAAGAAGCCACAAGCACATCTTGATGTGGTACAGACTGTCAGCGTGGGTTAAGTTGTTTTTGACACCAAGAACTGAGCACATAATAGGTTTTCCTATGAGCCAAGTTCTGCCATCCTTACCTGAAATGAACCTGAAAGAGTTTTAGAGCACAAGGCTACACTCCAGCTTGGCTTTATCACCTTGAGTAATCCTATTTACTTCAACAGATCCAGAGGCTCCTCTTCATAGCTCTCTGTTTGCACCACTGTCTCCTGGAGGGGATCGCCTTGGATTGAAAACCTTTTTTTCACCATAGCGTGAATCCAGGTCTTGAACTCAGTTCACTGGGTGGTCAGATATAGGTCTATGTGTAATGTGACTTTTAAAAATACTTATTCAGACATAAGCACAGGAAAGTCCTGGGGCATTTGAAGTCATATCAAAATTTTAATACACTTTAAATTTCTGTAATCACTTATATATGCTAATGTATATGTAAGAAGTAAGATCACATGGCTGTAAAATTCTATATGAAAATACATATCTTGTACCTTTAGAGCTGCTTGAAATTTAAAACATAGTATTTTCTAGAAATTTAAGGTTGGTCACCTTTTTCTTTTTAACAAGTTAGGAATTTTATTCTCCTTTTCTTAAAAAAAACCAATTTATATCTGTGTGTTAGAGTGTCATACATTGTGACGTACTCCAACAAGGAAGCTTACTTGTTTGTAGCCTCAAAACGTGGAGCTGTGCATGCATTTTATACTCGCTTATCTAAGGAGGTGGAAACCAGTTAAGAATTTATTCAGTATTTTCCCTAATTTCTAGAATCTGACAGGAGGGCTTGGGGTTGGTCACTGGAAGCTGTTCTTGACCAGGGATTAGAACAGACTGACCCACTCCTTGCAGCTGTTATTGCAAGTCATCATTACCACTGTGCTGGTGATTACTGAGGTTCTCAGCTTCATTATTTTGTGAGATTTAGTAAATTGCTAATGGAATGATTTCCATGTGGTTGCAGCTGAATTATGACAACTCCTATCGGGGCTCTGACTCTCCATGACAAAGCTATCCAGAAAGTCCATTTGCAAATTGATCTAGTCGTGTTATGACAGCTATCTGATGCTTAATGCTTTCTGACCCTGCAAATTCTCTGTCCCCGCTGTGGAGAAATGTAGTTTGGTCCTTTCTGTTCCCTCTGATTTAAAGTGACCAAGACATGCAGCCTGTAAACAGGCTATCGGTGCAGCAGCAGAGGTGCCTCCTATTCTGTTTGACAGCATCATTGCTTTGATTATGCTTACGGTACGAGGATGTGATTGAAAGGTTTTGTTGGATGTGGCATCCTACTGGCCACATCAACTCCCAGGTGTGGATGCAAGCCGTCAGCTTCTCATCAGAGTCACAGAAGCGGAGCCGACAGCGCAGCCAGCGCACACCAGCTCCAACCTACCATCTCGCTGCCAGCACTGCCCAGTTATTTCAGTGCTGACCTTTTTCCCTTCGCTGTCTTGTCAAAAGCTGCAATCTGTGAGCTGACGGTAACTAAGGAAGAAAAGGACGCAGCCAGAGCCAGGGCGCAAAATTAAATGGAATTAGCCATTTCAACAGACTGTCACACAGAACATGCTGATGTTTGGGAGCGTTCGAAGGGGCAGACTTCTCAGTGGCAACCAGCAAATCCTGTACCAGCTGTCCACATTTCCTCACGAGTCTGGGATTGAAACTCAATTGTCAGCTTGTGTTGGTGGGCAGGTTATTCCAAAGGCAGTTCTCACAAGTGACTGTGCAGAATGGCAACGATGGGGAAAAGAAGGGTAGGAGGGGTAACAAGTCCTGACAACTAGACCTCTAGATGTAGATTTTTACCTTTTGATGTTTTGTGTTGAAAGATGCAGTTAAATCTTTATGGTTGCTGCCTTTCAGGATTGGGGAGGGAGGGGAACATCTAACTGCGACTTTATTTCAGCAAGCTGCTTTCCTGTAAAATTGAGAAACAAAAATAAAATTTATCTGGGCACTTAGATCACTAGGTGGGTAGGCTGCAAGCTGCATCAGTGTGAAAGTTTGGATTCAGACATAGGGCAGAGGACAGCTGTCATCAAGTACTTCAAACCACTCTGGAAGGGAACGTTGTATTTGAGCCATTTTTCATAATGCCTCTGTACTTTTATTTACAGAACCCTTTCAAGTCGTGGTAAGAGGCAATGGTTTTTATCATGCAAGAAATATCGACCAGGTACTCTGCAGCTTCAAGCTCAATGACAGCCTTACTATCAGTAAGTCTGAAGGGAGGGGTTCCTTGTCTCTTGTGACTGTGTCACCCCATGGGATGCAGCCCCCCTCCTATTTGCATCAGGGAGCCATGTAGTGGCTGTGGGGGGAGGCGGGTGGGGATCTTTATCTGGCAGGAGCTCGAAACTCATTTGTGTTCAATCTTAAAATGTTCAGGCACTGTGTTGTGTGGGATTATGCAGGAGATACTGTTGTACAGTGAATTTCAGCATTGCTCTAATGATTCACATGTGGAATGCATACAGCTGGTAAGGACTGGGCATTGACTTTTAACAGGGAGAAATAAAACATCTTCCTATTTTCTATTTCACCTTCAGTAAAAATAAATAATACTACCTTGATGCCCTGATGATGTGTTCAAGCTATTTATTCACTGATTCAGAAGATGCTTACTATAAAGTAGGGCCCTTCAGCCCTGCTTTGCTCCTCTCTGGCGCAAGCTGCCTGTGTCATGGCAGAGAATGTTGAAAGGTGGAAAATCCCTGTAATTGCTGTGCTCAGTGGGGTTTTTGGTTAGCTGTCTAGGCAACCAGAGAAAGGCCTGAATAGCCAAAAAAGATCAAGGGTACAGTTTCTCAGCAATCCTGTCCTTTTCCCTGAGAAGCAGGGTGTCTGGTGAGGTAGAGCATGGCATGGAGAGAGGAACTTTGTTCCTTCTGTATGTGTTGCCCTTGTTGGCTGGACACAGTAGGGGCTTTCATTCTCTACCACAGCCAGGCTGGTGCCTTCCCTAGTAGTGAATTCACTTACAAGAGGGTACTATGAATTGCTCCTTCATTTCCCATCCCAGTTGCCTCCGTAAAGGCTGTGTTAAATAAACTCTGGTGGTCTCATTCCCATCAGGCTTACAGATGCTCTTTGCTGGGGATTTGTTTCTTGTGGTTTGCCAGGTAGCCAGAATTCTGGCTTTTTCTGCCTTGCCCCTAATCCACTGGCACTTTGACTGAATTTTACACTGCAAGTGGTAGGGCTGACCTGGAAGTAGCGAGGAGGAAAATGGCCTTAATTCTAAATCTCCTCCATGGTGTGTTTTGCTTAGGTTAGCTGATATCACGAGATACTGATCTATGCTGTCCGTGGTCTCCCCACCCCCTAGCCTGGCCCTAGAACATACCACTGCAATTTCCTTTCTTCAGCAGTGATGAAGTCTCAGAAATGAGCTGTTTTCAGACGAGCTGGAGTGGGTGATGCAGGAAGGATTAATTCTCGTATCTGTTGTTGCTGGAGTTATTTTTTTTCCTAGATAAAAAGAACGATAAAGCCTCTAAAGTTAAAAATAAGCAGGTAGCTTTTACCAGCCCCAAGCTTACTTGGGGTATAGAGGTTGCCTGGGATGACTCCTGACTGTCTTTTTCTGGCTGGGCACGTTAGGGCTTTGTGGGGCCATTTGGAGTGAAGCTACAGTAGCAACTTGTCTGCTCTCATGCCTCAGTCATTCACTCTTAGAGGAATTCAGTTTTGTTTATACTTTTGAGTATACTTAGTTTATACTTTTTTGAATAATCAGAGGGATCACAGTATTTCGTATAAGTAGATTTTGCATGCAATTTTCAGGTAGTCAAGATGAGTATTGCTCAAAGGTAGCTTCAAAATGGCTGACCACTGCTGTCAGGAACAGAAATCCTCCATTTCCTCGTATGGTACCTCTAGCCTGATAATACCATATTAGCATCACCAAGAAAGGTCATCTCAATGCTTGGCTTTATGACCAGTACCTCTGGGGAGTATTGATTCTTGCCCTTACTATGGCTCCCATTAATGTCAACAATTCTCCAGGGAATGACCTCCATGGGACAATCTGTATTTTTAAATCTGACAGTACATTAATTTCTTTTCAGATGAGAAGCCGACTCTTGTTCATGATACTTATCTGCTCTGTCCTGCCCCAGTAATTGAAGATGCTGGACAGTAAGTATTGCATTTCCTGTATGTGAAGGGAGAGGAAGCTTCTGATGAGGATGTCATTACTGAGCCAGAGGCTCAGAATTTTGCCTGTAGTGTCAAGCTAAAAAGGCTTTGTAATGTGAATAGAGCCATCCCATATGTACAAAATCATCTCCTAGTATGAGCCAGCATAGCTTCATTGAACACTGGGTCTTTGGTGTCTTTGGTATAGCTTAACCAAACACTTTATTGGACTATGATCTCCTACAGAGGTCTTGCAGCGTTGGAGATGAAGCTGGCATGAATAGTAGTGTGATGTTTTATGTTTTTGAGTTCATTGGTGCTCTTTGCCAGTCTAGTACTGGTGGAGAGAGTCAGCAATTGTATATGTGATCCTCTAGGTTTATGTATGGAGTACTGCAGCCATATGTACTGTTGGACCCAACAGGAGGTAAAAATAGGACTGGTGATTAAAAACTCCCACATCAGCTGTGCTACTGACTTCTCACTTCATTGGACTAGCACTATGCATGCTGTCTCCAGAGGTGGCAATGTTTATGGTGACTCAGCATGGCCATGTTAGGCCTCACACTGCTTCAGTGGCTGCTGGTGGGTGTTAGGATCTTGCCTAGGATGCTGTAGTCCAAATAGTAGCAGGTGTTTCTGCACTACAGCTCCAGAACTTGAGGGCCCTGCCTGAGAGGGGCTGTCTAACAGGTCTTCATGGTAGTCTCCCCGCGTGAACCCAAAGCAGCTGAAAGGCTGTCAGCTGTGGAATGACTTGGAGAAAAATAGAGTTAATGAGAAGAATGGGGACAGAGGATTTTTGAGTATGCCTATGCAGCTTCTCCTCAGTTTTGTTTCTATTCCCTTTTTTCCATACCAAAAGTTAATTGAATTCCAAGTGATCTTTTTCGTTTTGGTAGAAAATTGGTGCTTGATTTGAATTCCTTTGCTGCCGTTATAGATGTTGCTTCCTGTGTTTTGACCCTGCTCTGCTTTGGCTGGCACTGGTATTTTTCAGATGTCTTTCAGACTCCAGGACTGTCTTACAGATGTGGCACAAGGCTGTGGCTTCCTCCTTGGTGATCTAGATCCTTAAATATCTTACAGAGATCGAGGGGAAAGCTTCCCTCTCCTTCCATACCTGTGGGAGCTGCTTTTTTTCTTCAGACTTTTTCTCTGATGCTGGAGAATGATTAAGGCTGGATTTTCTTTAATTTCACTGTCATTTAAATCTTTTTCCTTTGACCTCATGCAAGATTCTGACTTGAATTGGATATATTTAAAAACAAACAAAACCGTTCTGTCTGTTTGCAGAAACAAATAGAAATAAAAGCAAAGTGCTATCTAGGATAGTATTGCAAGCATCTGAGATTTCATTTTAGCTCTATCCTAGTGCGCTTTTCCCTGGGTGAGGTGGAAGTTTTATGATAAAAAGCATATGCCCTGAGTCAATTAAGCCAATGTAAAAGGGATGATTCCTGGGTAAGCAGAGGGATAGCAGCAGGTAAGAATGTAGCCACAGAATGCCTTGACTCAGCAGGGAATGTTACCCTTGAATGTTCATGAGCCAACGGCTAAAACAGCCAGAATAAAAGGAACAATGGATATAGAGATGACACTAAAAATAAGTGTATCTGTTTGTGCTTTAGGGTGGTTTTCCTGCAAGTCAGCATGAACAATGGGCTAACGTTCATCTCCAGCTCTGTCAGCATCACCAGCACACAGTGTGTAAGTAATTGCAATGGGGCTTGACAGAGAAACCATGAGATCTTGGGAAGCGGCGGTGGCTCTTCAGGCAAACCTCCTTGACTGAGCATGAGTTCCCTGTAGCTGCAGCACCACGGTTGTTGACTGGGTCCCAGCAATTCTTTGAAAAATCACCGGGCTGTTTAAGACTAAACCATTACTGATGGTGGCTAGATCATGGTAGATTTACAGATTGAACAGTTGTAACAAAAGCACTCCCTGCCCATTCTTATTCCAGGATAAAGAGAAGTCCTTATAGGCTGGATGTACCTAAAAGGGAATCCAGAAAAAGGGGTGAATGAGAATCGGGGAGCAATACCCTGTTGAGCATTGAGTTATCAATGGAATCTGGAGCGAAATGTGCAGCTGCCAGGACTTGCATTTAGAAGGGCCACAGCATGGAACATTTTCTGAATTTTAAGGGGTACTGTCTGTTTGGAGCTTACTACATTTGTTCTTAGATTTCCACAATTTATCTCTAGTCCAAGCATTTTTCACTTCCAGTGAGGTGATTTCTTTTCTCTTAGTGTCATGTGGAATGTCATAGGGAATGGCCAAAAAGAGATAATATCCTCTCATTCTGGAGTGAGATTCCTGGTACCAGGCTGCTGCCCAGCCCAGCCAAGGGAGGATGTGCTGCTGTGGGATAGCAGTGGCTGGGATACATACCTCCTTGTTGATGTCAGGCAGACTGCTTATCCCCAGGGTAAGGGATCTAAGTGATCTTTAAGCAAAACTCAATTTTAGAATAAAAACAAAAAAAGAGAGAGAGAGAGAAAGAAATAAAAAGCTGATACTAGTACTTGGTGCAAGCTAACAACAATTTGCTTTAGCTAAAGATTTGCCCTTGTGCTCATAGTCTAAAAAATTGCCAAAGAACCTGATACCAACCAAGCATTCAGTATTGAATTTGAGCTTTATTGTTACTAGTGTCAGAAGGACTTTTATAGCCTACACCAAATGCTGTCATATTGGTTTGTAATCATCATTGGCCTTTCTGACAGCTGCAGAGCAGAAGGGCAGGAATGAAGACAAACAGTGACTGGAGCTTACAGATTTGATTTGTGATGTTTTCTGCATTGCAGTTGGGAAATTTTGCACCAGATTGCTGGAACAGCCCAGGGTGTGTGGATGGAGAGTCCAGCAGAGATGATTTTGCTGCTTCATCTGTTTTTATTATTATTTTGGGTTTTTTTTCCAAAATTTACTTCCAAATTTTCTGCAATGAAGACTTAAATTTCCACGTTTTCTACTCCCTTTCAAGCCCAAAGAGAAACACAAATATTAACTGGTACATTTGGTTACCCACATGTAATTTATTTCTAACGGAGGCTGAAGTCTTAGCCCTAGCTGGGATCCCCACAGGCCAGAGGGTGGATGCAGAAAGCTTTCTTCTCAATAGCCTTAGGATAAAGAGGAAACTCCAATCTCCAGTCCTGTCAATCTCCTGACTTTTGCCCAGCTCCTGCAGATTAAATATGAAGGACTCCTGATTCTCATCTAGTACAAGAAAGACCATCTCACTCCAGTTGTATCCCATAAGTGGGAAAGCTGGTGTTCACTTTCCAGCTTTGTTCTAATCTCATTCATTTCACTCTTATTGTTTTATAGACTCCCTCCATTTCCTTTCCTCTCCTGCTCCCCTCTCTGTGAGCGGCAGCCAGCTGGCCTGCTCAGCCCTCCTCCCCAGCTGGTGCTTCTGTCCTTTCTGTACAGTAAGTATCTTCTCTTGACTTTACTCCCAAAGCCTCTGTGTGATCCCTGCGCTCATTTCTGTTCAGCTGTGTGAAGTCTGCTATTTCCTTTTCAAAGTCCAGCTTCACTATGATGCTTTGTGTGTTTGATCACTGAAAGAGGACTCTCTAGTTTCTTGCTGCCAACAGCTCCTGAGCTGCTGCTGGCAAACATCTCAGTGATTTATATGAGCACTTAGCATGGGAAAAGCAGTGCCTGGGAACAGGGCAAGTAGGCAGTGTGTGTTTGGAGTAACGGTAGCTGTAATATGCACATATCCATGCACTGCATTGGTGCTATGCTTGGATTTGTATTAAAGAGTGCATGATCTCTCCTACAAAAATGATATTTAATCATTCTTTTATCAGCAAGCTGGCTTCAGTGGGAGCTCATGCTTCCCGGGTGTATTAGTGCTACATGGAGCCACGAGTGGACCAGAGGTGGGTGGCAGCACTGAGCTGCAGCTGGGTAGTGTCTTCTAACACGGCTCCTCCTGTGCCTGGCACTCTGCCTTAGCCTTCTCCTGCTGCCTGACCTAACAAAAGGGGTGAGCTATGTAGTGTATCCCAGAACAGAGCAATTTGTTGTGTCAGTGACCAGAAGTGACAGAGTAGTGGAGAAATGGTGATGCTACAGTTATGGGCTAAGTACTAAGAATGGTGTAGGAGCCAAGGAGAGGTTAGTCATGTCTTGAATGTGCCAATCCTGACAGGTCTAGGATCTGGCCTGAGGAAGAGCTGGGTAACACTCAACATCTCATCCAGATTTCACAAATCTCTTCCCAGCTGGTTCTTTCTTTTCCACCCTCAGCCTCTTTGCTGTCTGGTGGGAAAACAAACCCACCGGATTCTGTGAGAAGGTGCTAAAAATGAGATTTGTGTAGTCTTGTCATAGTAACTCAAGTAGTTTTCTTATTTAACAATGTTGAATCTTACGGACTTTGTCATACAGTGGAACTTGCTTTCTTTCTGTTTCTTCTCCTAACTATCCTTGTTTGAAAATGCCGTATAGCTTTCTCTTTTAGCCAGCTCCCATTCCCTCAGCCTGACTCACAGACCCTTCTTCAAGTTCTTTTTACCTCTTCCTGGTCCTAGACTGTCCTCCAGTTTGCTGCCAGATTTTTCCTGTTCACTGGTACTCCTATTGCTGGTGAATTGAACCTCTTAAACTCAGAACTTACCTTTGAAGAGGTTTTCCACAACTCTGGTACACCAGAATAATTTTAACTCCATTCTGGAGCCCATTGGAGTCCAAGGAAACTGCACATCCCTCCATGCCACTGCCCATCTGCATCAGATGTTGGATTTTCAAAAGCCATGTGCTCTGTATGCTCTGCAGGGGCCAAGCAGCACATTGAAGACCTTTTTTCCTGTAGTCATCAGAGCAATATTTAGCCAGCATATCTTCTGAATGCACTCTCATGAATGCAGTGCACAGTCCTTTGAGATTTACACAGGAAAATCAGAGCTCTGAGTCTCCTTGGTTGTCTGGCTACTCTGGAGACACAATTTTAACACTTTTTTTTTTTTTAAATTAAAAAAAAAAAGACTACTGTTTTGAATGTAGATCCTCCCTGGCCCACGACTCCCTCCTGCAGAGTAGGTTAGGTAGAATCAGGAATGATCAAGACAATGCAATCCTGAGAAACTCAACAAGAATCAGCAGTGCTAAGTACTAGTTTATCTAAGTGTTTAGGCTGGGGTTGTGTGCAGCTCAAGGCAATAGAGGCAGGCTTAGGAGCTGATGAGGCTGAGCTAATAATAAATTGTATGATGTTCATACGCTGACAGTTATCTGTATGATTTTAGCTGCAACATTCCTGTTCTTAGAGTATCAGTATTGATATATTATGCATCTCTAGTAATGAAATATTATTCTGCACCATTAAGTTTGATCATGTAGTTTGAAATATCCTTCTGACAGTACTAAAGCACCTCTCAGGACAAGTTTGGGGATAGTTTGTATACAATTTTATCACATTTGAATCTAGTGAGCTATAAGCATACCATGAATTATACATACCACAAACTGGAGGTACTTTCCTGAATCATGATTCCAGGGACAGATTTGCCACACTAAATATTGATGAGATCCTAATGATGAGAATAACGGTCTGCACCACATAAGTGAGGCCATGTAATGTGGGAAATCTGGCTTGTTTGCCCAGTCTACTTGTATAACTTCATGCCTCCTACCTCATCTGTGATGTATGCAAATAACTCAAAGGCAATCGTCTTGTTTGCAGCTGACTGGAACCATCCTTTTCATTGCTCTCCTGATTCTCTTTTTGCTACTGGCTCTGGCTCTTCTTTGGTGGTTCTGGCCCCTTTGCTGCACGGTGGTAAGTACAGATTTATTTACTACTTTTTTTACTTGATATCAAGTTTTCTTTCTGACTTGCTTCTTGCTAAAACGATAATGATGATTTGGCCTTCCTGTAGTAATGAGCCAAATGGCTTGACTGTACAGTGTTATTGATCCTGTAATGAATTCAATTCAGCAGAGCAGGCAAGATCTAAATCTTACTTAAATTCAGAAACTTTCACTGGAGACGTCACTGAGGGAAATGATGACTAGATACCTTGAGATTTACATTAATGAATTTCTCTGCAAACATTTTAAAGCACCTGTAAAATAGCATTGCTTAAAAATAATTTGTTAAACGTGTAAGCCATAGCAAATGTATGTGAAGCTGAAAGCTCTGGGCATTTCACAGGGTCTGGTAAGCACCAGGCAGGGCTGGAGACATACATATGATGGTCCTGGTGCTGCAGCACAGATATTGCTATCAGTGTGAGTAATGATAGTCCATTGTTTATGTGCCCTGTGATTGAACTTGAGGAAGTAGAACCTAGGAGGCAACCTATCTATGATAAGCAAAAAGTACAGAGAGCATAGCCCTGATGTGGAAGAAACCCTGCCATTAACCCAGATTCCTCTCACTGCTTGTATATTCCAGGTGATCAAGGAGCCACCTCCACCACCTCCTCCAGAGCCTGTAAGTATGCTATTTCTGACCTGTCACATTGTCTGCAGCTGCTGTAGTGCAGTGTGCTGCCCAAGAATGTCACTCCTGTAGGTGCCTTAATGGCACCTTGAAGGCTGAGAGAGGAAGTCTCTGGGGTCAGGACAGTTATTTCTGCCTTCTGGCCTCTGTACAGCAAAGTTATTTCCATCCACAGAGAAAATAGATGCCTAACTCTGAAGTCACAACATTTCCTACGGTTTTTTTTATTTCTTCTGCTGTGCATCCATCACATGGGTCTGTAGGAAAATCTTTGCCTCTTCAGCAGCAAAACCATTGTGCTTAAAGCTGTCCCTCCTCCAGCAGAGTTGCTGTTCCCAGGAGGGGAGTACAGAACAAAGTCAGGCAGCTGAAAGAAAAGACAGTGAAGACTGCATTCCTGTGGCTTTTTATACAGGAGAGGGAGCAGGAGGCAGGCCCTGGCTGTGGTTCTGTTGCAGCTTGACCCTTGGCAGGATGCTTGGCCCTTCTGTGTTTAAGCTGTGAGCTGTTGGAGGAAGGGTTGTGCTTTCTTTGAGATGGTAACTCACAGAGGCCCTGGTCTCAGATTTGGTTTCACTCTGTTATTTTGGTAGAAATAATAGCAATAAATAAACGTATCTCTAGAATGAACTCATGACTGCCTTTATTCCTTTTCTGGGCACAGACAGCTAAAGGGTGGGAAAATATTTACCTAACCCACAACAGAAGCTTACAACTTGCTGCTAACTTGCTGTAACATAGCATGAATATCAGGAAGCAACCACAGCTGCAGTTTTGAGGTTGCCAGAGGCCATCATTGCTGTCTCTGTGATTCTGTTGCTTGCCCTGAGCAGCAGCATTGTGACAATTTGACTTCAGAATATGCACCAAAATCATTCTGGTTTTGGGGTGATTAATGTTGTCATGAGGCATAATCATAGCCATGCTGTGTTTGAGGGAGATTTCAGAGAGCTTTGCACCCTGGCAGTAGAGTTCCCAGATGCTTTGGGGTTATTCTGTTCAGCAGAGAGTTTAGGCCAGCACACATCCTCATTAAGCTTCCTGAAATACCCGAAAATACAGATGTTGTCCATTCCTTTACTTGGCTGTGAGTTTACCTTCCATGGATCAGTGTTTCAGGATACATAGCACTAGCCTCCCTGTGTGCAGCATCCTGTAAGCCATCATTAACAGTCCCGCTACTATCAGGTTTTCCAGCAATGAGGGTTGTTAGATGTAAAGAATTTAAATCTGTTAGATTTCATAAAAGAGGCAGGATTTTTTAATATAATACTCCAGTCCATACAAAGTGAAACACAAATGAATTTAAACTGCTGATGTAGTTCACTGTGGGTGCTGCCTTAGATGTGGTACAAAATGGGTTTGTGTATTACAGTCTTCCAAAGCATCAACAAAACAATCATGCAACGACTTCTTTGTCTATTTCTGTGAGTTAGGGGTTGAAAAATCCCATAGAAGCAATGGAAATGTCAACTCTAGTCTTGCCTGGCCATACTAAAGAATCTGTTGGAGGAACTGACCCATGAACCATAGCTGAGAGTTGAGATGTCACCAAATAAATGATGGAAATAGCTCTCTCCAAAGCACGACTGAAGAATTAAATAAGAATAAACCAAAATGAAGACAAGATTTTTAGGAGATCTTACTGGCTTTTGGACTCTCAGCTTCATATTCATACAGATGCGTAAGGGACACTTCAAGAAAATGTCATTAAGTAACCTGGTAATGAATTGTGTCCTCTGCTAATTGAATTTCACTTGATTTTTTTTACTTTGTTTTATTTCTATTTTAAATAAAAAATGGATTCCAAAAAGAGCTTCTAGAACTGTACTTATGGTGTGACTTTCAGCTGTTTTGACTCAGTGTAATGACTGAGTCTGAGAAGACCCAGTGACTTCTCCCAGCTCAGGATGATAGAACTGGGAAAGTGTTCCCAGGGTTTTTGAACTAGAAACATTTGCCAGCTTTTATTTATGCAAGAACAGAACAGCGAACATGAAGTAAAACCCTGATTCAGATTCTCCCACGTTCAGAAGGAAAGAAAAAAATCCATTCTTTATAATTACAGGTCAGAAACTCTGGATCTGAGCTTCCTGAAAATTTGGAGACGCTCCAGTCTCAGTTCCAGCTCTGAACTGTACAGCTTGAGCCAGACTCTGCAAAGAATCAAGCAGCACAGAACAACTGGTTACAGCTGCCATGAGAAAAGGGCTTGATGCACATGTTAGAAATCTCACAGTGGTAGCTTTTTCCCTGTTAGGTGACATTAAATTCTAAAGGCCCAGTTAATAAATGAGTCCTTTGGATTAGCTGATTGCAGCATTTTCTACACAGCTTAGTGACAAGCCAGTATAATGTGCAATTCATCTGCACTTTACTGTCCCTTAAAAGTCAGTTGTGATTTTGAAGCTCAATGCATATTTGATTAAATAAAAGCTGCCTGAAGAGGAGAGGGGAATAGGCAGTCTTCCTTGGCTTCCCAGTTAAAATTGCAGCTGCAGAGACAAGAGACTTTTTTGTTTTTTGTTAGCAAGTGTAATATACAAAGCCAAATATCCAAGGATTGAACCATAGGATGTTCAATTTTTCCCATTTATATGAGAGCAACAATAACATCTCTCTGTCTTTCCCACAGGAGTCAGATGATGAAGATGGATTGCCGAAGAAAAAGTGGCCAACCGTGGATGCATCTTATTATGGAGGTCGAGGTGTTGGTGGAATTAAGAGGATGGAGGTATTGTGTTTTTTCTCTGCTATAGTTCCTTGTAAATGATCTCAACTATATACTTTACTAATGTTTTTGTGCAAATAAACAAAAAAATCCTACTTTTTTTGTTGGAATACAGGCCAGGATTTAATTAAGGCTAATCTACCTGATTGCACCTGCCATCCAAGTATCAGACATTGAGCTGCCACATTTGCATGAGTAATTAATTGAATACAGCACTGTGAGCACGGGAAAATTTGCAGGTTAAGGAATGAGATAAGCACCAAAAGTTCTAATTTACTGAGTCAAACCCTTCAGTTAGTGCAGTTGGCTTCTATTCTGTTGTCTACTGCAGAGTTGCACTGGTTTTTACTATTTGAGCATGTCGTCTATGATGTTCATTTGTGGCTGGAGGCAGTTGGGTCTGGGAATTAAAAACAGTGGATTTTTGTTTCTTTTTTATTTCCTCTTTCATTTGAGCATTAACTCCTAATGCACAAAAGCTTGCCAGGGGAAAATTTTCCTCTTGGTTCTCTTGTTGAAATTGGTCAATAAATCAAATATTAGCTTGGGATTCACGTATGACACAGTCTTGATATGTGATGTGAGGTGTTCCTTCAAAACAAAATCGCTTTGTGCTATCCTGTGGCATACATATTCTGGAGAGGCAGCTGTTAATGCTGTGATAAGCTGCTAACTCTTGTATATCACCACGAAGTTAGTGAAATCTGTGTACTATTCCTTATTAAGGCTAGTAGAAGCACAAGGCAGGGAACTATCAGTCATTCATATCTGCAGAGGGTCTAATGGCAACTTGTAGGGATTCCACTAGGCACTACTACCAGATCTAACTGGCAGCTAAGGGAGGTGGGCTAATGTGCACCACCTGAGATTCTGGTCCAAACCAGAATTAAAGCAATGGCTTCTCAGCAAGGACCTGAAAGTCTGGAAAGCCTGAAGTCAAAGTACTGTCTTAACACCCTTAACCATTTTCCTCTGAGAATGTTTATCTTTGGTGCTGAACAGCTTCATGGATCACTTGCTGTCACTGAACACAGTCACGTTTCTGCTTGAGTCAGACTACGAAAGCAGATTTTTACCTTGAAACGAGCAGTGTACTTTGTATGAGGATGAAGTTTGTGGCTGTACATGGTCTTCTTTAGAAAAACTGTTTCCACTATGAGCTGCTACTCTTAAGCTATCAAATCCTTGCCTGCTAACTCTATTTTCATTTTGGAACTAATCAACAAGAGGAGCACAGAGCTGTTTATAAAGACCAATTTCCTTCAACTAGTGCTGATGGCTGCTTTTTGAGTGAGGCATTAGGAATACAAGTGTCCTAGCAGAGCAGGGCAGAGTGCTTTGGATTTCATTTGGAAATGGGTTAATCTGCTTTGAATGCCATAACATACCACAACGCATCATGTTGTGCAAATGCTGGTAGTTCAGGCTTTTCAGAGTTAACATATGGCTCTTAAGGGCATATTTCTGATTACGATTCCTTCGTGAAATTGGTTCCTGTCTGATGATATTTGGATCACCCAATGGAAGTAGGTAAATGCCTGCTTGTGGGGACCACCAGTATCTCTCTTATTGTGCTCTTCTGGCTTCAGGTGCGGTGGGGAGATAAAGGATCAACAGAGGAAGGAGCAAAACTGGAGAAACCCAAAAATGCCATTATTAAGCTGCCGGAGCAGGAGTATGAGCCCTGGGAACCTAAGCCGAAAAAGCCCCATGTGAGAAAACCTCCTTCCCAGCGGAAGTGGTACACTCCAATCAAGGTAATGAACCCATCTCTTAGTTTTATGAAGTCTGTTTTGTCCTTTATGATCCTTTCCTACCTCTTAAGTGTAGCCTTTCTTAGGCTACGCTTCCTATTTAGAAATATGGCCGATATTCCTCAATTTTGCCACTTCTTGGAACTTATGTTGCTCCAGGCCCTGTGTTGTCAGAGTTTTCTGAGGAATGTGGAGGGTGTTAAAGGGCAAGAGCAGAAATCTTCCCTCCCACAGCTCACCTCTTGGTCCTTTTGCACAGTTTTGGTTTCAACAGCAGATGTCCCAACTCTTCTGGCAGGGGGACCCAGCTGCACTCCATTTTGAAGCATGCTGCAAAGAAGTTCACATAAAGAAAGTGCCTTGTACTTGTTTTGGTTGCAGAGTGGCTAAGGCCTGGGGTTGGGATTCTGTTCTATTCCCTCATAGCTCAGCCACAAGACAGTGTTTGATTTTAGGCGAGTCCCTCAGTCTCTACATGCTTTTTCATCCTCATTTCTCCTGTGTCATTATAGTATCTGATGTCTTCCCATCTCTAACCTATGTATCCTCACACAACCCCATAGCTGTTATCTCAGCTTGCAGCCAAGGAAGCTGGAGGGCTTGTGCTGGTGAAGGCAGTAACATACCACGCTTATCCCAGAAACTTGTGGCCAAATCCCAAACCAGTGTTTTGTGTGTGCAGAATGAGACCCCCTCCTCCCCATCCTGCTGTGTATGGTTCTCAGATGGGTTTAACAGCACTTGAATTTACTGACTGGAAAGTACCCGTGAGTGATGCCAGCCTAGGTCTTGTGGCTGTTTATCCAGTTCAGTAGGTATTCATTTTTCTGCCTTTTGTTAACGTAGCTCCTAATTGTGCCTCTGTGGAGCTGTTTAGGCTACAGTCATCACGTTTTGAGCAGAGTGAGTTTGTCCCCCTTGGTTATAAGGTCCACATTACCGCTCTGAGTCTCTGTTCTGGCTGTCCAACAGGACAAGGACACAGGAGCAATTTTCATGCAGTTTGATGCAGAAAGACTGCATCTACTCAGCTATAGTTTAATTTTGTCACGTTCTCCTAAGATTTCTTGGTTATGTCAGATGTTTTTTATTCCAGGGCAAACTTGATGCACTGTGGGCTTTGGTTCGGCGAGGCTACGATCAAGTCTCTCTTATGAGACCACAGCCAGGGGATAAGGTAAGGTATCACAAACACACTGCCATGTCATTGCTCTGTTAGCAGCAGCAATGCTCTGTCCCTTGCCTTGCTTCTTTTCTTTTTTTCTTTTTTCTTTTTTCCTTTTTTTTTTTTTGCAAGCTTGTCTCCTTTTTACATAACCTTGAGGCTAAAAATTTGTCATGAGAACCAGAAATGAGCTGAAATGTTTGCAGTGGCATCTATTTAAAATTATTCCCCCAAATGGTCAACAACATCTTCACTGTGATGATTTGAGCAGACTGAGGTAAAAGCTGGCCAGCTGCAGTTGCGTCTCTGTCTTTTTCAGCACTGTAGGTTCTTAGCCTTGCTTTCTTGGGAGCATGTGATGGAGTCAAAGGAAAAGTTCTTTGTAAACTCAAAACTAGCATTTTTGAATTTAATAAGTAGTAGTAACATTGCAACATTATTTTTCTGATGTTGGGTAGGAGGGATAATCACTTTTCAGCTTTAATAATAACGTTAAGTGATTGTATTGTTCATAATTTCTCACATTAGCAGGTGATGAAGAAACAAACTCTAGCAAAGTTAATGGAAAATATAATTTCCTTAGAGCTCTGTGCAGAGACGCATCGCTTCCTCATGACCTGTGTGGAGGCATAGGGTATTTTCCTGCCTTGGTAAACTCAAATGCAGGTCAGGAATTGATTCTTCATTGGAGCAAGCAAGGAATTTGTGCCTCTGAGCTACAGAAGTCCACTCCACTGCAGTACTAGGAGCTTCCTGTTGTCTGTTCTGTTACTGCAGATGTACAACTTCAAGGGAGTTGAGTGCTGCTGCCTCACTGTTTCACCTTTATGTTTGGCTTTCTGTGGGGGAGCTTTGACATGCAAGTTCCAAGCAGAGATGGCAGTATCTTTCTCCCCTGCCCTATAGCCCCTCTCTGCCAGATTCTCTACATTTTATCAGTATTTAAACTTCAGTCTTTTTCTTTTGGTGTGTAAAGGACAAGCTCAGCTTCCCATACTACTTTGTAAAATGGCCTTTTAACTTCTTTCACCAAGCTGCATTTTCAGGGCAGCTGTGCTTGAGACACCTTATTTATTTTTTAAGCACGATCTGGAGCTTCTGAATAGGCTCTTTAGGCCCAGCTGTATTTTGATAGCACTAACATTGTATACTACGTATCTATCCCCTGCCTTTTCCTGGCTTGGCGAGTACATTTCTATGGGTGCAGAGCACAACAGAGCCTCTGTTATCCTGTGCGGCCGTGAAACATGCAGGGGCTGGCTCAGAACAGGGATGCTCAGTTACTTGCCCCTCCAGCCCTGCTGCAGGGAGGATGAGGGACTCAAAAGGGGCTGTGTAAAACAGAGCAAGCTGAAGGATTATTGTATCGGGGCAAACATTAGAAAATCAAATGTACATCTGGGAAATAGGGTGGAAAGAATCCTATTGAGCCAGATTCAGTGGAAAAATGAGATAATCTGTTCCCTGGTCTGTGAAATTAACTAAAGCTGAAGAATTTTGAAAGGGAAACAAGAAAATGACTGGCCATCACTCTGTTGTATAAATAAAGGATATTACAGGCCTGTGTTTCATGGAGAGAATCTAGCACAGAGAAGAACAAGGTTATTATGGATTGTTCTGTCGACTTTTCCAGTAGCAATTCCTTGGTGGAAAATTGAGTTTGAGACTGGCTTTTGGTGAGGAAGGAATATGTAAATAAATCATAAAATCATTTGAGTTGGAAGGGACCCTAAAGGGTCATCTGGTCCACCTCCTCTGCGGTGAACAGGGACACCTACAGCTCGGTCAGGAGCTCAGAGCCCACCCTTGAATGTTAACAGGGATGGGGCATCTGCCATCTCTCTGGGCAACCTGTGCCAGTGCCTCAGCATCCATACCGTAAAAAAACTCCTTCCTTATATTTAATCTAAATTTCCCCTTGAAACCATTTCAAAAATCATAATATACATAAAACATAACGTGTACTTGCATGCGTAAGTCCTGGCTAAAGGAGGTCAGTGCTATGAGTGACCTGGCTGCATGGACAGCTCTGACTACGTGGAGCTGGAGGAGCTGGGCAGCCGTCAGAGCCCAAGAGAGAACAAGGCACTGCTGCCCAGATGTGTTGACAGCAGTCAATAAGCATTGGGTTTCTGCTGGTAGTTCTGGAGGCACAGTGCCTCGTTGCGTGGTATTCTTCCAAATGCACCATCCAGGGGCCAGAGAGATTGCACCATTGCTGTTTTTGCATGGTTTTGTTTTCTGGTTTGTTTTCGTATGTTTGTTTTGCTGTTGTTTAGATTGTGGATTTTTTTTTTTTTTCTGGCAAGGAGGTGTATGCTTTTTTCCTTTTTTTTCTTTTTAAGAAAAGGAAATTGTGAAGTTCTCTATTCAGGAAAACTTGAAGTTCAGAAGGCAAAAAAGCCACAGTGTTTTGGGGACCGGCCTTTGCATTCGTAATACGGAATATTCCTATTTCTGAATATCCAAAAATCAATTAAATTATCTTTACAGTTTCAAGGATTACCAGAAATTTAATTTTTGGAACAAGATAACTCACCAAAGTTAACATTCTCTGAACTTTATTCAGTGTACCCCCAATTAAAAATGGTATTTTACACTTGTTTTAGCTCAGCTGGGCACATTAGCTTTCTCTATTAGTAAAAAGTAGGGCTGAATTGTTTTTATTGTTTTATTTTCATTAAATATTATGATGAAAACATCCACAGTTGAGGGAGAAAAAAAATCACAGAGCTTTTTTGGACAGGGTATGACGAGGAATGTTTTGACATTAAAGCACTCTTTAAAAGATTTGAAAAGCAATCTTTCATCCTTTGAAACAGCTAGGTTTCAGAGCTTTTTTTCCTGAAAAATACTTGTAGAAATACAAGCATGGTACCCACTGCACTGTGCCTTGTGCAAAAAGCCCCTTGGTTCCCTTTGGGCAGCTGGAGTTTGGCAGTTCCCAACGGGCACTTGTGCTAGGGCTGCAGAGCGGGATCCCATAGGGCTCGTTCACCCCAAGGCTGCTGCCCTTCCCTTCCTCCCCCAGGAATCCGGGGCTTAGAGCACCAGAAGTCATGGATCAAAAGTGAGGTTGTTACCAGTGCCAGCAAGTAAATATTAAAAGCCCAAAGATGCATGGAGAGGAAGGTGAGATGTTTCTTACAAATGACCTCTTTAGTTGCTGCTTTCAGCAAATCCATTTCTTTTTGCATTTCAGCACATGCTGTCACAGGAAATTCTCAGCAGCTTGGTTTACCAAAAACCACAGCTAAAAAATGATACTGTTCCCCCCAACCTCCCTACAGAATTGCTCTTGTTTTTTTAAAGCTTTAGAAAGCAATCTCATTTTTGTCACTGAAAATTACCTAGAGAGAAGTGAGAATGTAGACATGGTTTTGATGTTACTGTCATCCTTGTATACTCAAAAAACGACCTAGTAAAAACAATGCTTGACCAGTTCTAACCTTTGGTTAGCACATGCAAAGCCTTTTTTGGGGAAAGGCACTTGAAGCAGACTATGATACAAAAATTGCAGCTTTTTCTCCTTTCACCCCCCAGAAGTAAAGGTAAAAAGGAAGTGCTAAAGCCAAAAATTGCACTAACTGTGAGCTGCGAGTTGTGCTGGAAAACAGGGCTTCTGTCCTTTCAAGTTCTCTGCATGGATTCTCTGCATTGATGGGTGCTTTGAATGATGACTTTAAATAAATTGTGGTAGATGCAATTCTGAACAGTAGCCTTTGAAATTAGGAGGAGTATTTGAGTTCCTTATTTTTTGAGTCTCTTTTAAAGCAGTCATTCTAAAGCTGGTGTGTTTGATACCCAGAACATCCATTTACTGACAAATTTTGAGCAACCCTTTATAATGCTGATCATGATACCTATGTGCTTAGTTTTCCCAACTGCAGAATCATGAGAATGATTCTACATTCATGATTTGTCATTACTTTCTGGCTGGTCATTGGTTTGTGAACAGCCCACTGGGATGGCAGCACCCCTGTCACTCCACATGAGCTGCCTTTGTGCCAGCACTAGTTGGAGCTCATGTTAATTCCTTCTCTCCAAGACCAAGCAGCAGCCTTTAGCAGGTTCCCTGCAGCTTGGAGCTGCACTGTAATCACCCAAAGCTGCAGGGGTGCTGGAAAAGCAGCACTGAGCACCTCCAGGCCATATGTGTCAGGCTTCTGTCTTGTTCTGAGTTTTTATTTCTTTGCTTAACCTTTCTGGAGCCAATTATCTTCATAAGCTGGTGAAAAATTAAAGAGACGGGGTCACTGCCTGCCATAGTAGACGTTCTCACTTGGTCGCTTTTGATGAAAATGAGATGCATGTAGCCATTGTGTGATTTTTCTTTCTCTTTTAGCAAAGGAGACCACTATTTGTAAGGTTCATTCCTACTATAACAGGCATGATATGGGAGAAAAAATATCTCCTTGGCCAGTATCCTAATGCTCAGTTCCCAGGATGTGCCAAGCACTGCAGCTGGAAACGTAATCAGTGACTAATGAGTTTCCTATCCTGCAAGAAGCCCACATACTGGCACTACTTCTCTTTTGCCAGGATCTTGTTATTTCTGACACGGAAGAAGGGTTTGCAAATTGGCTCTGTGGGCAGATGTGGCCCCCAAGGGATAACAGTGTGTTCAGGGCTTTGGGAGCCTGCAGCACACTCAGCAACAGCCACAAGACACTTTTCTGAAGAAGGGTGTAGATGCCAAGTGCTGGTGCTACTTAGCGTGAGCTGCACAGCAGAATGCAGAAGGATTGGCCTTGGGGTTTAGAAACTGAGCTGCAACTTCAGAGATCTTAGCTGTAGCTAATGTAAGTCACTTCTCATCTGTTGTACTCTAGCTCTCTACTGATATAGATTAAGTTCCAAGAGAGTGAGACTGTGCTCCTGTTGCCACTTTGAGTATGCCAGAGATGGTCATGTGCACCTGAAGAGATCTGCCATGGCCAATGCATTTAGTTGCTTCTTGGCAGGACCCTTGGATCAATGCTGAACCTGCTATCTTCTTTCTTTTGGACTTC